TGAATTCATGAGGTCCCTCATCTTTACAATGGGCAGAGTAACAGTACATCTCTTATGAGGCAGATAGGGGGAGTCAGTGAATTCATGTAGGTAAAAAACCTTGAAGACAGTGTCTGGCACCCATTAAGTGATATTATTTGTATGCAAATGTAAATTTAATTTTTTATTTTTAAAAATAAATCATTTTAATGGGGGCTCTTACATATATTATAACAAACCATCCATTATCTCAAGTGGACATGTACAATTATTGGCACCAACAATTTCTAAACATTATCTTTCTTCTTGAGCCCTTTGATATCAGCTCCTCTTTTTTTTCCCCTTCGTCCTCCACCCTGCCACCACCATAAACCCTTAATATACTATGGAGTGTTATGATTATTTATACATATCTTACACCACCCATTCTGTCTCTTCACCCACTGTCCTGGGATTCGTCCCCTGCGGAGGATTATTCTGTCATTACTATCCATTCCCCCTTCCCTCCCTCCTCCCCTTTCTCTTCCCCTATCCTTCCTCCTGGAAGCATTGCTCCCATTACTGTGTCTGAGAGGTTTCATCTCTCCTGAATCCCGTATATTGAAAGCTCTTGTCTGTGCCACTGTGATTACACTGGTCTATCAGGAATTGCAAGGTTGGACTGAGATCAAAATAGTGGGCAGAGGAAGGATTAAAGAACTAAAGGAGTGTTGTATATTGCATCACTGCTAAACTGCCCCCGAATGTACTTTCTCCTCCATGCAGTCCCTCTGCATGGGGACGTCCAATATCCACAGATGGGCTCTGGGTCTCTAGCTTAACCCCTCTCCATCACGTCAATGAGGTGGTTTATTTTTAGAATTCTGACGTGTGTTCCTTTCTACACTTCATGATCACACATGCTGATGTGCTTCTTCCATGTGGGCTTTGTTGCTTCCCTGCTAGGTGGCCGCTTGTTTAAATTCAAGTGTTTAAGACCCCAGATGCTATATTGTTTAATAGCCGGACACCATCTGGTTTCTTCACTACATTTGCTTACGCTCCCAGTTTGTCTTCAGTGATTGTGTTGGGGTGATGGGCATTGCCCAGTGCCAGATTACTATAACAAAGTATTCTTGTGTTGAGGGAATACTTAAGTAGAGGGCCAGAGTCTGTCCACTGCCTCAATGTATTATATTATATTATTTATTTATTTATTTGAATATGGGTGGTGGCATGAAATGGAGATCCAAGGCCCATCTGTAGACAATTGGACTTCCCCTCATAGAGGGGTCACAGGGAAGAGATGAATCAGTCAGGGTGCAGTATAGCACTGATGAAACACACAACTTTCCTCTAGCTCTTTGGTGCTTCCTTTACCCTACTATCATAACCTCAATTCTACCTTACAAATCAGATTAGTCCAGAACATGCACACTGCTACAGATAAGTGCCCACAACACGAGGAATCCAGGATAGATAAACCCCTCAGGGCCAACAATGAGAGTAGAAATACCAGGAGGCGGGGAGGAGATGAGCCAGTCAGGGTGTGATGTAACAATGATGAGAAATACAACCTTCCTCTAGTTCCTAAA